GTCAATGAGAGACATCATATCTCATAGTGGGGCCAGCCATGTGGTCCTCTCTGTGGACTGGGCTGGCCATGTGGTCCTCTCTGTGGACTGGCTGTTCTAATTGGGAACATTGTCATCATGGCCTGGTGGGCCAGGATGTGCTCTACTTTTTCCTCCTTCCCCTTCATCTGCTCCCGTGTGCTCCGATCAGATATGTCCCTCTCACGGAGGTGAAGATTCAATGCCGTCCTTTGAAATAAATTCTTCTGGGGGGAGGGGCAGGTGTCCACGTAGTAGTTGGGATTGGGGCTGGCCCCAGGTATAAGTTTTTAGATAAAAGAAAATGAATTAAAAATGTTTCATTTAACTCTAAATGCTCTAAGATGCTGTCAAACTGTAACTTTTAGTTAACTTCTCTCAGTTCTGACTTTAGGAAACATAAAAAAAAATTAAACTGTTTCAACTTCTGAGTATAGCTCTCTGATGTTTGAATTCAACTGTGGTGGTCTTTGAATCTTTTTTTCCAGGGTAAATAGAAACATCTTCGTTTAACCAGAAGAAATTCTTGTGTGACATGGTATCCAGAATAGATGACAACATTTTCAGTTTATGAGTAGTCTTGTTGTGGCCAAATCTCTCATGTCAGGCCATTTTTGGGGGAAGCCTTAGCTTCAGATGTCCTACTGTGGGAGATTGGTTGGTTGGTCAATTAATTTTAATACGTAGGCCATTCTTTGGTTCTTTGAGCTTGCCATAGCACTTAACAAGTCTTCCCACATAAGCTGTTATGTTGACATGGATTAATGTACATTCTCTAAATATAGTTAAGTTTAGCCTTATATATATATATTTTGACAGTTTACTGCTGTATATCTGGATTTATTTCCTTCTCATAGCTTTTCAGGAGAAGAAAAAACATCTGGAGTTGCATGTTTATTATCCCAAGTCCTCTTTATTTTTCATGGCAGTGGGTACAAGGGACTTAGTACTCTCAGTTTTGATTTTCATACCCTTGTCCTATCAGCCTTCCTTCAAAAGCCCACTTCTTTCAACAGAGAATGTATCTTGATATTATTTACTTAAACAAACGTTCTTTTGTTGACAACAGTTATAGGGAATTCCTGCTAATTATCGTGACCTCATAATTGACCTCTTCTGGAAAGGCCTTGACCCACCTTTATGCTCCAGTAGCTATTCATATGGTCACACCCACATCTTACTATCTCCTGGGAGTGTACTGTACCTCTAAAATATTACCCTGACCGTCATTTTCAGTTCTTCCTCCTTACCCACTACCTAACCACTCTTCTTCTCAAACTTCATAACCTTGGCAGTTCCTTCAATTCTCTCAATCCTGTGTCTCCTGGTCTTCTTATCCCTCTATTTTCCTGGCCTAGTTCCCTAACTTCTGTTTGGCTTTTGGATAGCTTCATACTATCAGCAGTAGAATAGCTGCTGGTGAGCTCCATTATAAATTGATAGTGTCCAACACTGAGTGGCAACCTTGAAGATTATAGTCTGTATTTCTGTTTCCTTTTTTGCTCTTAATGTTTGGATTTTCTTCAAGTCTTTTGCCCTTTGTGATACCTCCAACTTAAAGTTAATGATGTCAGACCAAAAATGAGGCCCTAAAGGATGTATTTGCTGTATTTTGAAATTTTATCTTTTTTCACCTATGTAATCTTTTGTAATCACTCCTCCTCAGGGAGTTTTAATGATTTCTGTTTCTGTGGTCTATTTACCTTGTTTGCTTACCAGTTCTGTTTCTGATGTAGGGTGAGGTATGTGCTCCTGTATGAAGCAAAGTGTTTTGGGAGAATGTTCAATCTTATTCATGTATTGGCCATCCATTTTATGATGGGGAAATTTTGATATTTTCTTCTAAATAATCCAATGTTTGTGTTATGTGCTTGTATTCTTTTTATTATCAACATGCTATTATTGAACTCTGAGAAATATCTTACCATCTCTGAATTCTGAAATGAACTTTCACCTCTCACAAATTAACAAACGTGAATGATAGTTAACTCTGAATGGTTGGACATCTGGCACATTTTATGGTCTTACAAAATTTTTACATAGTATTAATTTAAACCACATCTAACAAGGCCAGGCTAAAAGATTATGAATTTATGAAAAAGTAAGAAAGGGGAAAAAAGATCAATTAAATTATGCCATCGATAGCACATTATGTCCTCATTTATGAAGTATTTTCCAGTGTTTTCCAGTGTACATTATAAATAATGAAGTGCCGTGGTCCTAAGATTGCATCTGTTAGTTTGGTATCAGAGGAGAAGAATGTGTTTAACATTGGCACTACTTCAGATCTCACCCATGCATTGCCAACTTGTTTTCCCCTATGTGCTGACCATAGGCTCTGTTGAGTGGATTGAATTATGATAGAATCAGGTCTATGTTTGGGAAAGGGCTTTTGTATATTTGATTTCAGGGGCATTCACAATAGATTGTTGTACTCCATTATTGCCACCTAGCCTACAGATTAAAAAATGAAAGGACTTCAAAAAGCTTGTGGAAAACTCCATTATCTTTTAATTCAAAATATAGCTTAAGGCCCTTTAATGTCTTCCCTTTCTCTAGGCACATGGTTTCTCAGCATGTCATAGTTCACTAGTTGGCTTTTTATTAAGTCACCGGATTTTGAGTTTGTTTCTTCAGGATACTGTGTGGTTGATTATCTTTGTTGACAAAAAAACAACAAAAACAAACAAGAAACCCCCAATGAGCTCTGAGAGCCACACACTGTGTTAGCAGTGTATATTCTTGAGTTCAGCAAAGTAACTGTTGAATGAATACCAAAAAAGAAATTGAGAAACACTGATTCAGAAGATAAAACACTAGAAACGTGACTTAGTAGAACTATTTATAGTTTCCTTAGCACTTATTCCTCTACATTTCAATCTCATGTCTTTGCCAGGATCTCTTGGCAAACATTCTAAACTAATCTATTATAGGAAAGTTTCCATGTTGTTCCAAAATTACCACTATACTGAGTTACTTATCTTTCTTTTTGTATTTTGTAATTTACAGGAATGGCTGTGTAGTGGTTATGCATTGGCCTGCAGTCCTCAAGGTCTGCAGCCAACCTTCGGGAGAAAGAAGGGTTCTTTAAATGCTGGAAACTCTTGGGGGCAGTTACCTTCACCTAAAGAGTCACTATGAGTCAGCATGAACTCAGTGGCAGTGTGTGTTGTTTTGTGTAAGCCTTTGAAGAGCATGATGTCTGCCTTTATTCACGTTTGATTGCTAACACCCCACACAATATGACACCATCTTTAGTAAATAGCCAAAAATTTAACAGGCTCTGAAGGAGTGGGCAGTCTATATTGAATATCCCTGTAGATAATAAAATGACAGCATTCCTTTCCATCGATACTAAGTGTTTATGATTTCTTTTTATTCTTTTGCATGCTTTCTTGGCTGAATGGCAATAGAGAAGAAGAAAATGAGGTACGTGTAATTTAATTAGTTATTGAGTGAGTATAGAATTGATCTGAATTTTTGAGATTGTGCAAAAGCTGAAAACATTCAAAATTTAACTTTGTGAAATAAATATTTCTTTGCTAAATTTTGCCTTTGGACCTACAATAACTTAGTCCAGTGAGGGATATTGTCTGATCTCAAGAAATGATTTTTCATATTGAGCTTCAAGAGCTATAAGAAAGGTAGAGGAAGGTGGCAACTGTAGCGGACATTTACCTGTTTTTAAAAATTGATCTTCTATGTAAGATTTCATTTGATAAGTAGATTCTATTAAAGTATTTGAAAATTACTATTTCATTAATAACTTATAAAACCACTTTCTTAATTAAAGTTGATAAAAGCACATCAGTTAGAAAGCTTTACTGATGGCACATGTACACTGTCTTAAACTTAGCCTTGAATTTGTGGCTGTTGATTTCTCTTCACCTAGACTATGCCTTTAACTTTTAAAGCCTTTGGTGGCTTGACAAATAATGGAAGACATGGTTTTCTTCACAGATATCCTTTGCTTTTTGCAAACTTGCTTTATGCCATCTCACTTTTAGAAAAGACTTAAGTTAGTATTGTTTTTGCTAACAAAAATAAATCCAAAGAGGATTTCATTTTTACCACCCCACCCTACCCCCCA